TTAGTCCTGGTTTAGACCTTGTTTTAATCCTGATTTAGACCTGGATTTAGTCCTGGTTTAGACCTGGTTTAGTCCTGGTTTAGTCCTGGTTTAGTCCTGGTTTTGCCCTGGTTTAGACCTGGTTTAGACCTTGTTTAGTCCTGGTTTAGTCCTGGTTTAGTCCTGTTTAGATCTAGTTTAGACCTGGTTTCAGTCCTGGTTGAATCCTGATTTAGTCCTGGTTTAGGGATATTGCCCAAAATGTGAAAACAAGGAAAATCCCGCCATGTAATCCATTTATTTCTACAAAGTAACTGTAATCCAATTACCACTCTCTGAAACAGTAACTGTTACTGAATACAGTTACTCATAAATTGTACTCTGATTACGTAACTCCGGTACATGTAATCTGTTACTCCCCAACACTGATTACAATGATTCACTGACGAGCAGATGATGTGCTGATATTTTTACAAAATTATAACAAAAATTAAACAACTAATTTGAATATCCAGCGTAAACATAATAATTTATTTGCGTCTCTGTTAAGAAAGAGTTTAACCTCAAAATAGTTTGAGCTTCACAAAAATAAATCATACCTATAACTAAAATTGGATTAGTGATGTAACGATATCCAAATGTCTCGGTACGATATTATCACGATATGCATCTCATGATACGATATTTACTGCGATATTTTGGAGACGTTCATAAAATTGTAGATGGGAGACTTTTTTGCTCTTAAAATCCCTTGACAAGATTTTGGTGTGAATTATTTTCATCATAATCCAACGAATTCACATAAAAATCATATTTCTTCATGTTGTCTGCGCTGAAATGAATCATGGGAAATGTAGTTCCCGATGTTTATAAGATGTTACAGCTATAAAACCTGCAAGTAAGCAAAGGAACTTGTGAAGCTGAAGTTGACATGATTTATTTACAACGATTCACTGACGAGCAGATGATGTGCTGATATTTTTACAATATTATAACACAAATTCTACAACTATTGAATTATTTGAATGTACAAATATGAGTTTATCTCTGTTAAGAAAGATGGAAAATACAGTTTAACCTCAAAATAATATTTGAACTTCAAAAAAAGAAATCGTAACTAGAAGTAAAATTGAATAACTGAAGAACTAAAATTGGAAGTAATTAAATGTCTATTATTCAGGATATAATGATATTCAAATCTCTCGGTACGATATTATCACAATATGCATCTCACGATATGATATTTATTGCGATATTTTGAAGACACATATAATTGTAGATGCGACACTTTTTTGCTTTTAAAACACCCTGACAAGATTTTGGTGTGAATTATTTCTGTCATAATCCCAAGAATTCAAGTCAAAATCATATTTCTTCTTCTTTCTTCTTCTTGTCTGCGCTGAAATGCATCATGTGATATGTAGTTCCTGATGTTTATAAGCAGTTACAACTATAAAACCTGCATTTAAGCAAAGGAACTTGTAATTCTCGATATATTGTGAGATCTTTGACAATACAATATCATGATATTTGGGTTATTGTTACATCCCTACTTATTATCACTATAAATGTCATTGCGATGTCTGTCTTTGTGCACTAATACATGAATAATAACTGTGTGTGTGTGTAAATGTTACAGTATCTTGAGAAATGAGGAGCTCTCTGGTATTTTCGTTTTGTAAAGAAGTTCACCAGAGGAAAAGGTTGGACTCCTGCTGTAGATTGAGTATAGTGGACTCAACGTTTCCATCAGGATTTGTCCAGTAAAACCTCCAAATCTGGATCTTTCCTTTGTCAAAAAATTCATAGTCTTTATCATGATCTCTTTTTAAATGAACAAATAATGTAAAATATAATTCTAAATGTTTTTAAACTGGGCTCTGATGTCACTTGACTTGATTTTTCATAATTTCTCATATTTTGAAGTGAATCCCATTGAAATCACATTATGTTCCATTTCACTTTTGCCTCTAGAAGCCTTAATTCTGATATTTAGAATGATTTTGTTTACATTTTTAAAGGGTTTATACGACGTGTTTTATTGTCCAAATAAATCTAAATAATCAAAAAATAAAATAAAACAAAACAAAATAAAAATGTTGTCTTTTCTCAGTGAAGTAACGATTTGAAGTAGCCTGACTATTTGTGTAAGATTATTTTTTATTTTATTATTTGTTTAGACTAGCACTTGGGGAAAAATTTATAAATCAACCAAAAGAAAGGCCTAAATGATTGTATCAGTTGCACAAATTGAGCTTTTACGTTATGAGGTCTTGTTAAAATTATTAAAAGCAAAACCAAATCTCCCAAATGCGCGCGATAATTTCTTCAAAATAAAAGCTTCATAGTGAGTTGTGCGCGGGGGAAATTGAAGCTGTGGATTATATATTGAGCTTGTTGTCGTGCTGGAGAAGCCTATCGTCCCTCCCCCGGCCCTATCTGTGTCCAACGGCCGCGCGCTGGTTACTCATTGCCCGTGGTTTATCGGAGCTGCGCCGCTTTTACGCACGAGGTAATGTCCTCGTAAAACGGCCCGTATTATCTGCACAAAAAACAACAGCTACAAGTAAAACACGGTGTTTTTCTACAAAATGGACAGATCTGCTCAAACAGCCTAATAAACAACTGTTAATAATTAGTCAAACGATGTGAGCTGTAAAATGACAAAACATACTATGTAACGGAACGGCGTAAGTGCTCCAAACCAACGAACACAGCTTTTTTTTTTTTTTTTTTACATTAATTAATTAATTATTTATTTATTTATTTATTTATTTATTTATTTATTTATTATTATTATTATTATTATTATTATTATTATTATTATTATTATTATTATTATTATTTTCACAGTTTGTAGAAAGTGATTTTATTAAAAAAACATAATAATAATAATAATAATAATAATAATAATAATAATGACAATAATAATAATAAAGCCCAGCATCTTTAAATTTTACTTCCTGGTTATTGGACACGAGCTTCAGATGTGACATAGCGGTAATTTAATAACTGTTACCTAGCAACCATAATGTAAACAAGGGGCAGAGCTTGTCTGAGTGACACAGAAGGTTTGATTAGACTCATGAAAATACATGACAGCACCTTTACTGTTTACTTTACTGTTATTTAGTTCAGTGAATAAAGTTTAAACTCGGACAAACACACTTTCTTATGCGTAAATTTTACTGCTGCTGCTTCCTGTTTTTTTTTTTTTTTTTTTTTTACAACTTTTCTTTCTCAACGTTTCTTCACAAGCTGTCACTTCACTGATGCAAAACTGTAATAAATATTTAACACAAAGCAAGTCACAGTTACAGAAATATATGAATCTGTCAAATGCACTTTAAGATCATTTAGAAAAAACGAAAAGATTATTTGATTCACCTTCCAACATAACGCTTTTTAATTTTTTTTTTTTATTAATTAATTTTTTTTTTTTTAAGTTAGGTTAAGTGAATATATGTCTGAGTCACTCTTTTAATAAACTGAAGTGTTGGTTCCTCTGAGCTCAGGAACAACACACATACACATCCAACACTTTTCAAATGACACGTGACTCAAGAGGAACCAGGTGTTTACTGATCCGAACCAAACTTTGTGTGTGTGTCTGTGTGTGTGTCTGTTTTGCGCTACTGTTGTCATGTGTTTACCGTGTGTTTGTTATTAAATGTGTGTACTGTGCTAAATGTTGTGCCTTGTGACCAGAGATGAAAAATCTAGGAATCTAAATCTGGCACATTTACATTGTCTGTTTATGCACTGGACAAAAATAAATAAATAAATAACAATATCTATATAAGTTAAAATGCCTTAAATTAAGAATATTTGACTTTATTTGAGTCGATTCAACTTGAAAAGTAAAATGATCTCCCAATGGAATAAGTGCGTTTTTTCTTATTTCAAGCAACATTCGATTTTATTTCTTATTTTAAGTGCAAAAAAGTTGTTATTTTTCGGGGGGTTTTTTTAAGTGCAGCAAGATGTATTTTCATATTTTAACTACAAAAACGTCTTGTTCCACTGACAATTCATTGTACTTGTCACTTGAAATTGACTCAAATCATGATGAAACTTTCTTAATTCAGGTCCTTTTAACTTGACTAGATTGTGGGTTTTTTTTTTTTTTTTTTTTTTTTTTTTTTTTGCCTTTTTTCTTTATACTTTGCTGCAAAAAAATAAAATGCTTTGAAGCGCTGCGTGGGCCCGTGTCCACTCCAAATGCAGGTTCTTTTTGGAGAGGGTTTGTTTCAGTATTTGTCTGTAGGGTTAAATCAGACTGAACTAAACTAAAACCCAAGGTGCTGGTTTGTTTTAAAGCCTTTACTGCGTCTCGGCTGATAACGCAACAACGCAGCCTTCATCAAACTCAAATGCGAGCTGTTCTGTGGGTTTTCTTCAACAAAACTAAAGCACACAACTTCCTTTTAAAGAAGACATGGAAAGTAAATACGTAGATGCTAAAAAAAAAAAAAAAAAAAAAAAAAACACTGTTTCCTGCGTTTGTCCTCTGCGTAAAGTTAGAGATTCTACAGTGTCCAGCTCCAATCACGTAAAACGCAAAGGCGTCTCGCAGGTGCACGGAGGTCTAGTCCAATCCCTGCTCTCAATCCTCTCCTTCACCTTCCCCAGGGCCCTCTCCTCTCTCTCTCCCCGCCCCTCCTCTCCCCGGCCTACACCTCTCTGACCCCCCGCCCCTCTCCTCCTCCTCCTTCTCCACCTCCTCTCCGAGGCCTTTACCTCACTGGAGCTGCGCTGAGCTGGTCACGTGGTCCTGCCCCGTACAAATCTTCAGGTTGGGCATCGCACCGCAGCATATCAGCAAATTATCAGCGACGTAGCTATCTCCGGATACGGCCGAGGAACAGCGGAAGACGCCCGCTTCTCAGGGACTTAAACCGTCTCGGCGGCTTTGGCTCCAAAACTTTTACGCACGGCTTTTACGCGGCTGTTCTCGGGAGGTCTGTCCGCTCTCTGCGCTCCCTCGCACGGACTCGTTCTCCTCGCAGCAGCGCTCTGGAGTTTTATCACCGGAGCTCCGTTATCTGGTGAGATAAAACCGACACACACGGAGGGAAACTGCTGCTATCCCCGCCACTATCACGCCTTTATGTGATCGGCCTCGTATTGATAGAGAGCTCGAGAGCCTATCTCTGTCTTTGTTTGATTTGGTTTCCGTTATGGCCGTGATTGCAAAGACAAAGCCGTATATTATGGGATGTAGAATATCTTTACGTGGCTGATACGCGGACACGTATCAGACAACAGGAGGTCATTAAATCCGCGGCGCGTCAGGAGCAGTGATACGCGTGAAATATGAGCGATGGTCCTGCGCCGTGGAGACTCCCGTGCCATGTGTGCCGCGCTCGGTCAACATTTATCTGACAGCGGCCTCACTTTAGACAGAGCTGTTTACAGTGACCCGGCACCATCACACGAGCATACACATCTGTTCTCTGAGTTTAAGAATATGACGATTATCTAAAAGAGTATCTGTTATGAATTGAAGTTATGGTTTTATAAGTATAATCTGTTTGTCAATACTTTGTCACGGGTTGTGGTTAACCTTTTACATATCTCCTTTGGATAATATTTATGGAGTAAAGATTTACGGACGTCTGTCAAACCTTAAACCACTTGGATTTTATCTTTCTTTTACGCGGCCTTTTTAAATTACATTTTTTTTTTAAATATATGATATTTTATGTGATTTGGTTTGATGTCACATAAATCCTTCTGTCAAACTGTTTTGTGTTTTTTGTTTGTTTGTTGTTTTCCTCACTGGTGCACAGTGCACAGTAAACTATTTGTCGTTTTTTTTTCGTGCAGGGCTGATGTTGTAAATTGCGTCCGGACAGACGAAGGACGCTCTGTCTCTCCTTCGCGGGACTGAAGCCTCGGTCATCATGTACCAGAGCCTGGCCTTGTCCTCCAACCAGTCCCCGTACGCGCACGACACGGGCAACTACGTGCATGCACCCGCCAGTTCCCCGGTGTACGTGCCCACCCCCCGCGTGCCCGCCATGCTGCCCACGCTGCCGTACCTCCAGACGTGCGACTCCCCGCAGACGCACGGCCTGAGCGCGCACCACGGCTGGCCTCAGAGCTCCGGCGACAGCGGCGCTTTCACGCCGGGCAGCCCTCACCCTCCGCCCGGCTTCTCCTACTCCCACAGCCCGCCCATGAGCTCAAGCACGGGCCGGGAGGCGACCTACCAAAGCCCGCTGGTGCTCGGGAACAGCTCGCGGCCGGAGCAGTACGGGAGCGCTCTGGTGCGGCAGGTCGGAGGCGCGTACTCGTCCCCGTACGCGTACATGAGCCCGGAGATGGCCTCGTCCTCCTGGGCCCCGGGGCCCTTCGAGAGCGGGGTCCTGGGTTTACAGAGCCGCCAGGGGCTGACCGCCCGCCGCTCCAGTCTGGGTGAGTCAAATATTCAGCTTTAGGCCGAATTGTATAAGTTCTCCAGTGTCCACGGCATACACGTATAAAAGATGCTTCAAACTATGTCAGTTTATTTCAGTCTTTTTTCCAACGCTTGGACTTTTGCGACATTTTTATTACATTTATCATTCGTGATGTGACAGGCCTAAGCATCATCACAGACAAAACACAAATTGTATTCGTAGTTTCTGTTTTTTTTAAATATATAAAAATATTAATTAATATAAATATTACATTAAATGAAATGAATAAACGATAAATATGTAGCACAAACACAGAAGCCTTAATAACAGTAAATACATATCACATTTGTAATCACTGCTTTAGGATAGGCCTTTATGTTCTTTATAATGTTCGTCTCATAAAACATTATGTAAATGACGCGTGCGTAAAATACACGAGTGTGACCGTGTCAAATATTATGAGGCCAACGGAAATAGGCCAGTGCTCTTTTCATAGCCTCTTTAGCTGCAACAACATGATAACGAAAAATAAAAACAAGATCTGATTTTACCCGCTCTATTCACTAAGTTCGCTGTTGGTTTATTTATTCGTTTTTTTTAGTCCCCATTTAACACCACACACTGTAAAAAGGCCGCTTAAAAACACTCAATAATGTTAATTCAATCCGCTCGAGCTCTGATCACACGCACCCCAATCCATAGCGACCCTTTGACCGGGCAAAGAACGCCTTATCACCCGGAGCAAACTCCAGTGCGCGCGGGGAGAAGTGTGCGCAAACACCGGCCTCGATCCGCTCAGAGGCTCCAGTCCAGACACGACACACAGACTCAGAGGACACGAGCGGCCAAATCCTGCGCTCCAAATGACCCGGAGATGTTGGGATCGATCCTACGTTACCTCCACTACACGTGAAAGATTAAACGCGCGCCTAAAACGAGCCTCCACGTTGATGCGTATCTCGGGTTTATCGTGTGGCAGACGGCACCTGTTTATTTGAACTGCCATCGTATCTAAAGTGTCAGCGTGTTTGAAACTCTGCCAGTCATGAACGAATTTGTTTTCAGACGGGAGAATGTGATGATGTCAGAAAACTCTCAGAATTAAAGCTCCTAAATGACACAAAATGGACTCCTGTGAGATTTAAGACACGTTATAACGCTGTTACCTCATGAGAAAAGATCCGGAGTTGTGTTTTGTTTCATTCACACACGTTTGAGTAACTCTGCATTATTAGTCTGTCAACCTCCAGCTCAACTTGTGATGTCACGAAGAGATTTTATATTTTATATTTTTTTTAAGTTAACAACTCCTTTTGGTTTTAGTTCAATACACAGCTACAAATGGAGGGTTAAAATGTCAGGGTAAAATATTTCAGAGTTGTTTTTAACACAAAAAGTGTTATTTTAACTATTTGAAAGTTAAATGGGGTTGGGGTCATTTGCCAGAATTGATATGGTTGTGTTAATTTAACTTCCCCTAATGTTAATTTAACTTCCCCAAGTGTTAATTCAACTCCCCTTAGTGTTAACTCAACTTCCCTTAGTGTTAACTCAACTTCCCTTAGTGTTAATTCAACTTCCCCGAGTGTTAATTCAACTTCCCCGAGTGTTAATTTAACTTCCCTGAGTGTTAATTTAACTTCCCCCGAGTGTTAATTTAACTTCCCCGAGTGTTAATTTAACTTCCCCCGAGTGTTAATTTAACTTCCCCCGAGTGTTAATTTAACTTCCCCCGAGTGTTAATTTAACTTCCGCCAGGGTTTGTGTGTTAAACGTGTGTGAATGAAACAAAACACAACAGCAGGTCTGTTTGTGATGAGAAAAAACGTTCTAAAACACATCACAAAGTAGATATATGGGCCTTTTAGAGTCTTTGTTATTATTAAAGAAACATAAAAAAAGCAATATTGCGGAACCTGACCAGTGTCTCATTACGCCCATGGAATATTTGAGATGACAGGAGAATGGTTAGGCCCGTGCCACGCGTCTTTAAACGCCACGAAACTCAATCATGTCCAAATGAGTGAGCTCCGTTCGTTCCAGGGCGTCACTCGCCACTCCGCCCGGGTCACAGCGCTCTGTATCCGGCCAAAGCTCCAGGAACACTCCGGGGAATCTGTCCTGGTAATGCCCGGCGTGCGTCACCCCGTCACCGCCTTGATGGATGGCCCAGACCCCCGGATCGCGAGGCTGATAACCGGGGCGCGCACGTCTGTCTCACGCCCGTCTCTGTGACGTGCCCGGGGTTCAGTGAATGATAACTTGCCCGCGCATTCCTCCGTGTGCGTGGACCGCTATTCATCTTGGGCCGGAGCGTAACCGCAGACAAGAAACCACGTCCGTGCGCGAAGGGGTCTGGAACTCTGACGTAATCTAAATTAGCAGAGGGTGATGTGAACGTGCTGCATGTTTTCTGTTATTACGGAGAATTCAGGCAAATGCGTAAATCTAAAGTTCACTCACCCAAGGACGTAGGTTTGGTCTCAGCTTTTGGTGGGGACATTATCAGCAGTGTTGGGAAGGTTACTTTTAAAATATATTCCCTTACAGATTACAGATTACATACCTCAAAATGTAGTTTGTAATGGAATCCATTAACTATTTAAGGTGAGTAACGTAATCTGAATAATTTGGATTACTTGGTTTGCTGTAGACAAGCAAAGACTTGGACATCTTCACATAAGATGTTTTATCTGCTAAAAGAAAATAAAAAGCCCAGATTTTACTTAATCGTATTAAAAATATTATTGATAGAAGACGAGGAGACATGGTCCACACAGCATGGTTTAGTCCTGTCAAATCCTGTTTTAGTCCTGGTTTAGTCCTGATTTAGACCTGGTTTTAGCCCTGGTTTGGTCCTGGTTTAGTCCTGGTTTAGACCTGGTTTTAGTCCTGGTTTAGTCCTGGTTTTAGTCCTGGTTTAGTCCTGATTTAGACCTGGTTTTAGTCCTGGTTTAGTCCTGGTTTAGCTCTGGTTTAGACCTGGTTTTAGCCCTGGTTTAGTCCTGGTTTAGACATGGTTTAGACCTGGTTTTAGCCCTGGTTTGGTCCTGGTTTAGTCCTGGTTTAGACCTGGTTTTAGTCCTGGTTTAGTCCTGGTTTTAGTCCTGGTTTAGTCCTGATTTAGACCTGGTTTTAGTCCTGGTTTTAGTCCTGGTTTAGTCCTGATTTAGACCTGGTTTTAGTCCTGGTTTTAGTCCTGGTTTAGTCCTGATTTAGACCTGGTTTTAGTCCTGGTTTAGTCCTGGTTTAGCTCTGGTTTAGACCTGGTTTTAGCCCTGGTTTAGTCCTGGTTTAGATCTGGTTTAGACATGGTTTTAGCCCTGGTTTAGTCCTGGTTTAGTCCTGGTTTAGGGATATAGCCCAAAACGTGAAAACAGGAAAATACTGCCATGTAATCCATTTATTTCAACAAAGTAACTGTGATCCAATTACCACTCACTGAAACAGTAACTGTAACTGAATACAGTTACTCATAATTTGTACTCTGATTACGTAACTCCAGTACATATAATCTGTTACTCCCCAACACTGATTATCAGCTACCCCTTCCCCCCATGAAACCTACTTTTGGTATGATGCACACTGCAAAAACCAAACAGCACATTTTTATAAGAAAGTCAAATGGGATAATAAAAAGTTGCCAGGAAGTTGTCCAAAAACACACAGAGTCCAAAATAAGTGAGAGGTGGTTTAATTTTATAGTTTGTGTCCGTTGTTCTTCTAAGATGATTCTGTAGCAGATAACAGCAATGTAGAAGCTTGTCTCAGATTTCCTTTTGCTCGTTGGTGATGAGATATTTGTGAGGTCATGTCCGTACATTTTTCCATGGAATATTGTCAGTAGAGTCGGGGTCTCACGGCGCACGAGTAGGGCTCTGTTTGGGAGGTGAACTTGTGGTGAAAGTTGCTCTTTTTCTGCAGCGACTCATTATAAGTCAAGTTTAACTGAAGATGAAGCTGAGTAAGTTCCATTTGAAAAGTTTTTCAAAGTTTGGTGCGGCATCTTCACTCACGTCTGTTCAAGTTGACATCTTCAGGTGCGGCCCTGTCCTGCCACTTCCCTAGTTTATGCTCCTGGCTCCACTCATGACATCACTCTGTTGCAGCCAATAAAATAAATCTCAGAACGTCTCATAAACAAAATGTGAGCTAAAATGTGTTAAATTAATACTACTGAGTTTGGAAAAATATCGGAATAAATTTATATTTTTGGTTATTAAAATAAAATGGCAAATGTTGGTAGGGACTATTTTGTCTTCCCCAAATATTGGTTGTGACATGTGCCCACCATCCCTCTACAAACCTACACCCTTGCACTCCCCAAACTCAATGTTACTTATCTGTACCGCATCATTTAACACTCTGAAGTGTTACAATACAGCTCCTTCATCAGACATAGTCAGGCATGTGTTTTAGTTCATTCTCGCACATTCAGAATCCTCAAGATGTCCAAATCATTCTGTTATGGATCAATAAAGTTTGTCTAAGTCTAATTTAGTCTCTCATGCACCTTTGTGTTTTTAAAATCCTGTCCCAGTAGGTTCTAGTCACGCTCATGTCACAAACCAAGAAAATGTTTGGAAAGATGTAATTAGAACCTCCAGGCCCAGTTTTCTTCATTTCCATGTCATTGTGGAGTTCCGTTATGTTCAACTAATCAACAATTCCAACCATCCCTCAGTTTTCATCATTTCACTGACACACAACTCCGAGTGCACTGGGTACATGTGATTAGAAGAGATGAGACGCCAAATTCCAAATGAATCCAACAGCACATATGTCTGCAGTCTTCATTTTACCACTGATCACATTTACTTCATTGAGTTTGATCACAGTTGGTTTTAATTGTCAGGAATTACACCGGAAGCTGTTATTGCATGTTTCAAAACATCTTCCTGGTTAAAACCAACTTTGCATTTGAAGCATTTATATCTGAGCAGCAGCAGAGAGTTGTACTTCCTGATAGAAAGCTTGGCAGCGGCAGACTGATACATGAGAAAATAGTCCCTCAACATGCAACAATTCAAGCGATACAAGGTTAGTTTTATTTCAAACATTATTCTATCGACACAGACATTGACATGGACAGTCTGGTGTAATAATAGATTTGTTTGGGGTGTTTTGTGGAGTGGGTAAAACTGTTTTTAGTGACAGGCTAACTATGGCCATTGACATGCACTAGCCTAGCACCAGCAATGTCTGCAAATACAAGGACTGGATGGAATATTTCAAAAAGTGTCTCCACACATCTCCAACACTCTGGCTCACTAGGAAATGAGACCCTATGTCCAAAATTCCAAACAGTCCCTTTAACTTAAACTGAAATGAATGAAACTTTTCAATAATAATAAAGGGTGCTCTAAATACTGTATGTTATGTGTTTGCAGTTAATACTCCATTGTTGTAAAATACTATCTCTCTCTTTTTGTTTGTTCTGCTGGTGTGTGTGTGCCAGACCCTGTGGAGGACCTGAGCTCTGAGGGCCGGGAGTGTGTGAACTGTGGCTCTGTGTCCACTCCTCTGTGGAGACGAGACGGGACCGGACACTATCTGTGCAACGCCTGCGGTCTGTACCACAAGATGAACGGCATCAACCGGCCCCTCATCAAACCACAGAAGAGACTGGTGAGTAGCGCAACCGGACCCCACACAATCCAGACCCACACACAATCAAACCCACACACAACCAGATCCCTCATTAAACCACAGAAGAGCCTGGTGAGTAACGCAGCCAGACTCACACAACCGGACCCCACACGACCAGACCACACACCACCAGACCCCTCATCAAACCACAGAAGAGACTGGTGAGTAGCGCAACCACACCACACAACCACACCACACAACCAGACCCACATGACCAGACTCACACACAACCGGCTCCTCATCAAACCACAGAAGAGACTGGTGAGTAACGCAACCAATCCCACACAACCAGACCACACACAACCAGACACACACAACCAGACCCAAACAACCAGACACACACAACCAGACCCACACAACAAGACCACACACAACCGGCCCCTCATCAAACCACTGAAGAGACTGGTGAGTAACACAACCAGACCCACATAACCGACCCCACACAACCAACCCCATACAATCAACCCCACACAACCAGACCCCATACAACTGGCCCCACACAACCGACACCTCACAACCAACCCCATACAACTGACCTTGCAAAACTGACCCCTCATCAAACCACAGAAGAGACTGGTAATTAACAAATCCAGACCCAAGACAACCAACCCCACACAACTAACTCCACACAGCCAGATCCAACACAACCAACCCCACATAACCAGACCCCACACAGCCAACCCCACACAACTGACCCCACACAATCGACCCTACACAACTGACCCCACACTACTGACCCCACACAACCAACCCCACACAACTGACCCCACACAACCAGATCCAACACAACCAACCCCACACAACTGACACCACACAACCAACCCCACACAACCAGATCCAACACAACCAACCCCACACAACTGACACCACACAACCAACCCCACACAACCAGATCCAACACAGCCAACCCCACACAACTGACCCCTCACAGCCAACTTCACACAACTGACCTTGCATAACTGACCCCTCATCAAACCACAGAAGAGACTGGTAATTAACACAGCCAGACCCAAGACAACCAACCCCACACAACTGACCCCACACAACCAGATCCAAGGCAGCCAACCTCACACAACTGACCCCACACAACTGACCCCTCATCAAACCACAGAAGAGACTGGTAAGTAACAGCCAACCCCACACAACTAGACCACACACAGCCAGACCCACACACCAATCCAAAACCTCACCAAACCTCATCAAAGAGACTGGTGAGTAACAACTAACACCACACACCCGGCCCCACATAACCAACCCTACAACACTAAAGCCACACAACCGGCCCCTCATCAAACCACATAAGAGACTTGTGAGTAACAACAGACCCACATGATACAACCAACCCACACAGTCATTTATTGGAGCCATTATTCAACCCCAAACACGCGATTGTCGTCAGGTTTAAGCAATAAGATTAATTGATGAATGACAGGTTTGTGAAGCCGATCCCAAACTAATGAGAAGGAGAAACATTTGTGGATCAGAAGTTTGGAGGTTTCTTTCAAAAGAATAGAACAGAATTTTCTAGGCCACTGCCCACCATCTGAATAATGAAAGTAATACAATTTAACTTTGAGTAAAATGCTTTCTTCACAGCAGCTCTCAGCCTCTGCACATGACCTGGGTCTGTCCTTATCTTGCCACAGTTTAAATAGACTCTTATCACGAGCAGTTTGGAAAGTGTTACACATGGTTCTGCTATCGGCGCTCAGAATGTGACCCTCTGGAGCAGGGGCCACCATTCTCTATCACTCTGCTAGTATAGGAAATCTACCAACAGCAAATCCACATATGTTTTTGTCACTAATAGAAGTGATCATTTCTATTAGTGACAAGCTCTATTCTCCCATTGTATTTCTCCAACCACACCACAACATCTGCACTGAAGACATTTGATTTAGTTTAGTCTTTACATGAAGGGATAATGCACATGGTCATTCTACTCATAAAAGATGTTCTAACCAGATTAGAGCTAAACAGTAAGACTGTGCAATTCATCACAATACATTAGGAAAGTCAAAAGTATCGAAAATCAGATACTAACTGACACCAAAACCCCAAAAAATAGATACTCATTTGAGCAGGTTTCAATACTAAAAATGTCCCTGGACAGAACCTTTCCTAAATAGATTTAGAATGATCCTGAGCTATATCACAAGTATAAGAGCAAGATTTAAAAGGAGAGGATCCAAAATACTAACCTAATTCATCAGACGGTTTCACTTCGTAGCATTAGGATTCATTCGCTCAACGGTAGGCAGGTACTTTTTTATTTAACCAATTGCTGCTATTTGGTCATGATGTATTTAATGCACTGCTAACGGGGCTAACTGGTATATTAAGCTTTTCCCAAATCCCGAAGGAAGAAGGACAATAACGTCTTTCCCCTTGATGAAATTCACCAAAGATTCTCTTTGTTCCGGCTTTAAATATATATGACTCTGGAATATATGACTCTTTGCTGATTGGCTGGTTCCCAAACTCGTACTTCTGTTTTTTTTGCGAACCGTTTAGTGTATTCCAATTCCTGACCTAGTCGCTGGAGAGAAATTAAATTGATTGGAGGCACTAGGTGGCACCAGCCTGGCTATCAAAATACACAACTGCACTGCACAGTTGTTTAATGTAACTAGAACAAAGACCAGATGAAACCAAATATAAAAATCCTAAATCAAAATTGACAGCAGACATGATACTGACAATGGACCAACAAAGTGCAAAGGAGAACACAGGGTATATACCCCAGGAGTGGATGATTTTTTTTTTCCAAGGGGCCACATGAGAAACAGAAAATATTTCTTTATAAAAAGCAGTAAATATCATTGTTCTGATCAGCTGGTCAGACTGCTAAGAGTGTATGTTCTGACTAAACAATGAAAAAGTGTTGTTGCCGAACAAAAATGTAATTTAAAAAGACCTCTAAAATAAAAGCCATGCAGCTTTAGTCCATGCATGAGGTAAGATGATAAAATATGTTTATTTTGTAATTCCAAATGATTAAATGGGCCTATCAGAGTCAAACAAAGGTGTACATTGCCCAGGTCTGGAGACACAATTGTTAACACACTAGGGCGGGGCAAATGATCAACAGACAGAAAGTAAAACACCAAACTACAAACAGCCAGGACAAATATCAAAATAAAACACCAGCACGCTACACTAATAAGAATAAGGGAATAAGACACACCAAAATATGCAAAGACAATGAAGAAAAAACATGAATCTGAGGAGCACATACATATAAAAAAGAAAGTACAATTTCATGTTGAAAATCACATTCTATTGTCTAAGAAAGAGTATTATTTTTATTGATTTTGTTGATTGGTTTTGAGTATCTAATCTATTTTAGTTTTTTGCTATTTTTTATTTTATTTATGTATTTGTATTTATTTATTTTTGTAATGTTTGTATTGTGTATTACTATAAGCAATTTTACATTTTTTTATACATACATACATACATACATTTATTTATTTATATATTTTTTTCTAGTGCACATGGCTTAGTTTAGTTTAAAGGTCATTCACACATGTTTAAGTGCATGGAGTTTAGAAACACAGAGGAGCACTTTCAATATTACCACAAGACAGTTTAAGAGAAGAGCTCAGCGTAAACGTGCAGCGTTTGTGCATTAAACGTGTGTGGATAAAACAAAACACAACTTGAGGTGTGTTTGTGATGAGGAAACGACATTAGAACACAGATGAGAAAATAGTGTGATATTTGCCTTTTAAAGTAAACTCAAGGTAGTTACAATGGGTGTGGTGTTTTCACGTCTGCTTCGTTCCCATGGTCTGTCCCAATAGAGCTCAGTGCGCGCGCGCGCGTGTGTGTGTGGAGGTGGGATTGTGCAACACTTTTCCTGTCTCCCATTTTCTTTTATTCCCTGTCTCTCTTCTAACCACCTTCCACTTTCTGACTCTTTCTCCTTCTCTCTTCTCTCTCTTTCTATCTCCTCTGCCCTCCGTCCCTCCGTATCTTTGTCTCTCTTTCTGCTTCACTCCTCTTTCTTTCTTTCTTTCTTTACCCACTTCCCCCCCCCCCCCCCCCCCTTCTCTCTCTTTTTCTTTTCTGTTCTGTTTTTATTTGTCCTGCTTTGGCCTTGCCCTTGAGTGAGCCACTTATAGAAGGGGCTCTCCAGCTCTCTCTCTTTCGCTCTCTCTTTCTCTCTCTCTCCTTCTGTGATAAAAAAAAATACAATTTGTACGTCAGAAAATACATTCGTTTTTGTTTCGTTTTAATCTGTTTGTAATTTGATCCCCTCTTTACCTTGTGTAAACCCATAAAACTTCTCATCATTATTCCATTAGAATGAAATATAGACAATTTTCTCTTGAACATCGTATTTATAACTCACTCCTTCTCTTCCTCCCCTCCTTTCCTCTCTCTCTCTCTTGCTTTTTCTCTCTCCATGGTTAAAATAATATATTGTTTCATGATCATTCATTTTATTATATTTTCAAGAGGCAAAATACTGTAAAATAATGTGAACTCCTTTCTTCTCCCTCCCTCCCTCTCTCTCTCCCCTTCTCCTCTACTCCCTCCCTTGCTCCCTCGCTCCTCACAGCAGTCTGGCTCTCGTCGTGCTGGCCTCTGCTGCACAAACTGTCACACGAGCACCACCACGCTCTGGAGACGCAACGCCGACGGAGAACCTGTGTGCAACGCCTGTGGGCTCTACATGAAACTGCACGGAGTCAGTAACACTCCAAAAACACACTTCTATACATGCAAAAAACACACCAAAAACACACTTCTATACATGCAAAAAACACGTCAAAAACACATTTCTACACATGCAAAAAACACACCAAAAACACACTTCTATACATGCAAAAAAAAACACTAAAAACACACTTCTATACATGCAAAAAACACACCAAAAACACACTTCTACACATGCAAAAAACACACCAAAAACACACTTCTACACATGCAAAAAACACACCAAAAACACACTTCTACACATGCAAAAAACACACCAAAAACACACTTCTACACATGCAAAAAACACACTTCTATACATGCAAAAAACACACCAAAAACACACTTCTACACATGCAAAAAACACACTTCTATACATGCAAAAAACACACCAAAAACACACTTCTACACATGCAAAAACACACCAAAAAACACACTTCTACACATGCAAAAAACACACCAAAAACACACTTCTACACATGCAAAAAACACACCAAAAACACACTTCTACACATGCAAAAAACACACCAAAAACACACTTCTACACATGCAAAAAACACACCAAAAACACACTTCTACACATGCAAAAAACACACTTCTACACATGCAAAAAACACACCAAAAACACACTTCTACACATGCAAAAACACACCAAAAAACACACTTCTATACATGCAAAAAACACACCAAAAACACGCCTCTACATGAGACTATAACACACATCTACATGACACTATAACAGACATCTACATGACACTATAACACACATCTATGAGACTATAACACACATTTATGAGACTATAACACACATCTATGACACTATAACACACATTTATGAGACTATAACACACATCTATATGAGACTATAACACACATCTATGAGACACTATAACACACATTTATGAGACTATAACACACATCTATATGACACTATAACACACATCTGAGACTATAACACACATCTATATGACACTATAACACACATCTGAGACTATAACACACATCTATATGACACTATAACACACATCTATATGAGACTATAACACACATCTATATGACACTATAACACACATCTATGAGACTATAATACACATCTATATAAGACTATAACACAACTCTACAGGGTGACTATTAATGCGCCTCAACACACTGTGATGTAGTCAGAAACACACCAGTAACACACCTCCATTACACACTTCTAACATTCTTCTGTAGCACACTGCTGTAATAGGCCATCTACATGGAACAACATGGAGCCAGTGACTCTAAACATGATCTTATGGTCTTTATTATTTTGAAGAGCATAAGAGCCGTATTTGTCATATTTCCATAAGTGTGTTAAGTGCAGACTAATATTGATATGTTTTATACAGAGGGATATCAGTAGTCCAGAGAATAGCAATAGGGAAGTCCTGATTATTCAGTTAAACAGTAACTATGTCTGTACTGGTCTGAAGTGAAACATTATACCTGTGAGGTTTTAGAAACAAAATCAAGTAATTTGAATTCTCAAAGAAAAGCAAAACGAAATGTGGAGTGCTCTTATCTGTCTGTTTCTGTCAAATGAAGTGGACTTTCTCGTTGATAAAGTGTGACGTGATGAAGCTGCGCACACACACAGGAATGTGCTCTGTTCAACAGTGTGAATGAAAGTGAAGGAAGGACTGCACTGGGCTTCGATTGTGAATAATCCTGAAATCATGAAGTTTCTTCTCACAGTACTCACAGTAGACAATGTGGGTGATGTGTCTTGCCTAAGAATACAATGACACTGTCGTCCAACTCTAGTACCTGACATTCCCAGCGGTCTCCCATCCAAGTTCTAACCAGGCCCAGCTCGGCTTAGCTTCTGAGATCAGACAAGATCAGGCTTTGACAAGGATGTATAAACACTATTACGTCTTTGTTTATGCTTCATGTTGGTGAATTGAGGTGTAGTTATTATAAAGTGGTATTGTAGATTTGTCCAGACACTGACAGAACATGCAAAACTTCTGTGTAACAACGTTGCACAGTGCTGGGGGAGTGGAGACAGGGGGTTGTTCTCTCTCTGTAGGCCTCACTGTCTCTGGGTTCTTCTTAGGTTCCCCGTCCTTTGGCTATGAAGAAGGAGAGCATCCAAACTCGCAAACGCAAACCCAAGATGCCCAAGAACAAGCCAGGTACCACCACTACCCCATCGGACTCCAGCTCGCCCAGGTCTCTGCCCACATCCGAACACGCCTCCCCCATCAAGCGTGACCCCGGGCTGGGCTCCTTGGCGTACCACACCCACAGCACTCAACAGGTAAAGATCTGACCACTCCACAGGTACAAGTCTGACCATATAAGTGTACCCTGCAGCAGTCTCCAGGTGGGCCCAGATATGAGGTAAAATAACAAAGGAAACTATCCATTGTCTTGGATAGGATCAGCACAAGATAACAGTGCCTCATTATCATAATTTGAAATACCGTATTTTCCGGACTATAGGGCGCGCTCTTAAGCCTCCAACCCCATCAAAAAACGACTGCGTGCCCCACAATCCAGAGCGCCCTATACACGAATGCACTCGGGTGTCCCAGCACGACTTCAGTAAACTACAAAGCCGCACCACCCACAGAACACACAAACACACACACACGGAGCAGACAGTGACCGCACAGCGAAACACACCCACAGACACACTCATCACTCCACGCCGACGAGGAACGGAATGGAGGAACGAACCGAAAAAGCGAGTGCAATGTGCCGCTTTTAGACACAACTGAACAACTGAGTCACTGCGAACACGCCGACAATCCAGTGGTCCCAGACAGCACCCTCCCCACACAATTGAAAAAAGCCACCATTAATATTATTAGTTTGTACAACCATAAACGAAAACAAAAAAATCCTTACATTTTTCATTCTCATTACTGTTTAGTTTGTACTATCATAAACGATCAACGTTGTGCCTTCTTCACTACTGTTATTAGTTTGTACGACCATAAACAAAAACAAAAAATCCCTAAATTTTTCATTCTTATTACTGTTTATTTTGTACAATCATAAATGATAAACTTTTGTGCCTTCTTCATTAATATTATTAGTTTGTACGACCATAAACGAAAACAAAAAATCAGGTTTTGTCCGATCGTGCTGAAATTTGAATCACTAATGCATGATCCCGGCCTGAATATAATACACTATAAAACATATGAAAAATGAACTCTATAGCGCCCCCTACCATAGACATGAAACGTAAGCATTATTGGATTTGTACCAAATTCGGGAATTAAATTCTGTATATGATTACAAGCAAAAAAGTCTATTACGGACATGGTGCATTTTTCATGGTTGGCCAGTAGGGGCGCAGTGATTCCTCTGAAACATTTAAAGGTACACTGTGTAATTTTTCTGGTGGACGAGCTGTCGGCCTCGGGAGCTGTCGGGAAGAGAGGGTGGCGTGCCTGGGCGGTCGCGAGTCCCCGGAGGTCGCGTGGGGGGGCGGTGCGCGCCCGGGGCGAGGGCCACCATCGCCGCGCGCGGCTTTAATTGTTATTGTTTTTGAATTTTGTTGTACCTGGCTCAAACAAATAAATAAATGAATGAAAATGAATGAAAGCCCAGAGTCATCGTGAACACTCCAAACAAAGTCCCACTGAGCCATCCAACTGTTGAGTTTCGTTTAAAGTCTGGTGTGGTTTGTTTGTGAAAAAAGTTCGAAAATAGACCATTCAATGACAGTGCTCCCTATAGTGCGGAAAATACAGTACTCACACAAGACCAAGTTTAGTCCAAGCTCACAACTGGTCATGATCCTGACTTGATTTTGTTCCTGTAAGGCTGTACTTGGTAGACAAATGTCAGTGCAGTTTTGACAATGCAACAAAAATACAGCTTTTTCAATTTTAGATCCTCATAAATGAAAACATATGTCTAACAGAAAAACACTCCTTACCTAAACTTCCTTCCTGTCTCCTCCACAGACGTCCTCCCAGTTGGACAGCGCCCCTTCTGGCCACGTGGACATAAAATTTGAGGACTTCCCCTTCACCTCGGCGCCCATGACCCCCCACAGCTCCTGGTGTCTGTCCCAGGCGTGAACCAGAGGAACTGTAATGGATTCTAGAGAACTGGTGTGAATGAACTGGACTGCTTTGCTCTTGGTGTAAAGAAGTGGACTAAGGGAGTGTGACGTCACCCACGGCATTTGGCTCCAGCGAAATGAAGCTCATCGAGGCTGGTGGTTATAAGGACGGATTTGGAGTCCAGTTGCATATTTGGAATTCCAACCACAAATATCAAAGCAACCGGTGAGCCAATCAGGAGCCATGCTGTTGAAGCCCCTTCCCACCTGCACTGCTGGTTTGGCGGGGGATGACGTCAGTCAAACCTGTTGCCAACGCCAGATGGTAGAACCTTGAGGAAAGAAGGCGCCTGATTGGTCTGTTTATAAATGTTCATGTCTTGTTTTATGGACAAAATAGTGTAATAAAAAGTTCAGGATCATGTAGAGCGGGTTACTATGAACATTTTAAGACCAAAATGACGAGCCGGACAACAGCAGTTACAGAGAGAGAAGTTGAAAGTGTTCAGTTCCTGTTTGGGATGCAGGGACGAGCAGGTTAAAGAACTCTAATTAACTTAAGTATGGACCAAAGAACCTGGTGATGTAGAAGAACCCTACCTTCCATTGGGACTGACCTCCTCTGGCCTCCTGTTCTCCTCCTCAGTCCCTCCTCTGACCTCCTCCTCTTGAAACATTGAAGCACTGGTCTAGAGACTTCATCTAAGAAGGCCTCATGTAGACTGTGAAGGATCTAAACCAGGACAAACCAACAAGGCCATTCCTTCTGGCACATAAAACGCAACAACATTCTCATGGAAAACTGCAGATGCCTCTAGGAACCGTGTTAAGTAAGATTTCATATTTTTGAAGAGCTTCTGAACGCTACTTTTGGTGTGTCATGTTTTATGACCTATTTGCTGATGTTTTTGCCTGAGCAGCAAGTCCCATCTTCTGTTAGAATCCAGAAAGGTCTGGAACCGGACCACAGAGCGTGAAAAACCTCCCTCCAAATTTTAGATGATCCAACCACAGCCTCTTAGAACCCTCAGAACAAAATGTATCACTTCTTTACCCTGAGTTAAGTCACAGTTTGGTGCTTTGATTGGAGATTCTATAAAAATGTGCAGTCCTTTATGTAGATGTTTCACCTATTTTATGTGTAATCGCCATCTGAAATCAGGGAGACAGGACAGAGTGTGTTTTTGTCAGAGTGTGTGACCGTAGCTGGTCAGGTAACACTGTCTGTCCAAGTCGTCTGGTCCTCCAAATCTGTCCAGAAGGTTTGATTTGGCCCATAAAAAGGTGTTCACATCAGTAAAGGGGTTTCTATTTTAGATGCACTTTTAGTGGAAAGTCCTGCCCATTTCAACGTCAACTCAGACAGTTTTTATTCTTTTTTTTTCCCCATAGACTTTTGGAAAAATGTAAATATTAGTTGCCCGGTGCTGATAAGCCCTGACCTTTCAAACTATTATTTTATTTCTTTTCTTTTTTTTCCCCCCAGGAAAGTCAATGGGAAAAATCTATGGGAATTTCTTCTTCCAGAAGTAGGGGCAATGTAGAGGCACTGTCACTGATGAGCTCCATTGGATGAGAAACCAAACCCCTAAAAATCACAATAAATTAACAATACATTCTTAAAGGTGTTTAAAAATAAACACTTCACACTCACATCATTCTATTATTATATATTATATTATATTTATTATGTTTGTTTCTGGCACACTTTGATTTCCTCATGAACAGGGGGTGGAGTTTTGAGAGGGACAGATCCAGCATCAAAATGGCTCCCCTGCAGAAGCCAGACTGATGACTGCATGAATGTATCTGCTGTGTATAAAGACAGATTCTACTTGAGTGTTAATCTGTCTTTTTACACATATATTTGCCTGACAAATCCAGCAAACATGGCTATCCAATCAGATTACTTTATTTCCATGACGCTTGTAAAACAAAGGAGCTCATTGGTCACTATCATTTACAAACAAAAGCACCTTTCTCAGTTTTTTGTTGATTCTGCAGAAGTCCCCCTGCGATATTTTTTACTTTTCTTTTTTCCTTGTAAGCAGATTTGTTTTGCTACAGATGGACCATGCATGTCCCTGATTGGCTAATCCATCTGTCAGTCAAACTCGAGGAGATTCATTGGTGACCAGACTCACATCTTTGTAAAGTTTTGAAGAAGCCCAGTCTAGATCTCAGGCAAAAACAAAATACTATTTACTCCAGTCTATAATACAGGCAGGAACAGTCAATGCACAAACATCTGTGTTGCTATGTTTGATTTTCATTTCACTGCACAAGGGAACAGTATGTCAACAAGTCCAGTGCATGAACATGTATGAAGCAAAAATCTGATGTTTTGGAGTTGAAGTTTTTTGTTTTTGCATAACATCTCCTGTGGGCTGTGTCCGTGGTGTTTGTGAGTCTCCAAGCTGAGAGCAGCACGGCCCCTCTTTACAACGCTGCCTTATTCCACCAGTCGATCATTCACCTTTATGGGCTCATTATTTATGTAGAGATAAGGACGTCCACACAGGCCTTAAATGCACCGCGCTGTGTTCATGGGCCTATACACTTTAAACTATATGACCCATTCATTTTTACAAGAGCCGCTGGAATCACACAAGCCCAGTAAAAACGATGATCTGCCAGGCCGCTGGATTTTATTATTATAGTGCAATTTTATGAATGAAGGCAACACCAGACGAAATCATATAAATCGAATCTTATTGTAATGTTTGTGTTTTGTGAGCGAAGGATTTAGTATGTCTGTATCAGCACTCTTTCAAATGGAAAATAAACTGATTTATTTGGTATTTCTCAGAGTGGTTATTGCTTAAAGAACAGATATAGTGCTTGTGTGCGCTCTCTAGTTATGAACTACAACATCCATGGATCATTGTGATCATTATGACATTTTAAATCAAAATATTGATCTAAAACAAAACATAAAAACTGATGTTGCCATAAAAACATCATCACAATATATCGCTGCATGCTGTTGCCCCTCTATGAACATCACACTAGAGCAGAGGATTTTTTGTCATTTGTACCAAAATGATGACGAGACGCTGCCCAATCCCACGTGTATCACCCATAAAGAAAACTGGAGAAGGAAATACATATGTCGTATACTGGTGGAGGTGAAAATGGGAGTTGATCAGTATTATGTCATTTGGAAAATAAGTGATTAAAGATGATTCAAACATGTACAGATCACTCCAAATACAACTTCAGAGAATAAATGGTGAGGGGAAGCAACTGCAACATGGTTAAAAGCTCTGAAAAGTACATTTTGCATTTTGCTGATTTAAGAACATGTTTTTAATATTTGATATAAATGTTTGTTATTGTGTTAATCTAAAAATTGTATTTTATTTATTTATTTATTTTTACACCAGATGCCATTCCTGTCCCAACCAGTCACTTGACTGCAGCTGGAGTGGGCAAACAGAGGGAAGTGTCTTGCACAAGGATACAACAACATTCTTAAACCACTATTTTAAATCAAACCAAATGTTCTTTTTATCACCATGTATTTATTTTTTGTAGACAAGACAAAAGACAGAAGTACCTCTTCATAAACCTGTAGGCTCCTGTGTGCAGGTGTAGGAACAGTAAATACATCCTGCTCTGGAGCCTTGGCAAGGGTCCCTCATATTTGCTCATTTCCACCTCATTGGTCTGCACATACAGAGAGTATATATAGTACACACTGGTGTAGTACATGTATATACTAGTATATAGTACATGCACAGTGCACATATTCACGTGTGTGTTGTTGCGTGTCAGAGTGTGTTGGAGGTGTGTGACGAGGTGACGCAGCATCCAAAGGTCACACTCCACCTGTCCTTTATGACCAGAGACATGATCAAGAGCATTCACCTGTCAGGAACCTGCCTTTGAGCACCTGTCAGGAGGAGTTTACTGTCCTTCAGGTGATCAGTTTCCACCATGGCACAGCAGCGAGGAGAATGAGGAAGGGGAAGGAACCCAGGACCCCAGCTCGAGTGTTTACTCACCTCAGTCAGGGAGGGGTGGTGCAGAATTAACTAACTGTGTTAGCTCTGTGTTAGGTCCAACACTGCAAATGCAGCAGTCGTGAATAGAACAGTTCTGGCAAAGGTTAAGGTGTAATTTTATTATGACCATCAGGAAATGTGTCCTCTACATTTGAGCATCCTTCACTGTCACATCAGGACCAGCGCTCAGGGACCAGATTTTGGGCTAGTCTTGATCAGGATGACCTTAGCTGGAATATTTAATCTATTGTGTGTGTTTAGGGATTCCCAACATGGTTATCTTAGGTGTTGTTTGTAGTTGTTTCCCCTCATCATTCATAGAGTTGTATTTGGAGTGCGTGTTTTGAGTAATCTTTAAACGCTTATTTTCAACATGCCATTTTGCCCATCTACCAGCTTTTTCACTGGTACACACCAACTGTGACATACGCACTTCCTTCTCCTTCCTTCATTTTCTTAATAATACACATACATACTGATCGGCCCACAGCCTGCAGCACTTTGTTGTTTGTTTGAAGTTTATGGCGACGTCTTCCCATCGAACAGCACAGTTCTCTAACGTCGAAATCAGAGTTGTTTCTTTTATTAAGTTGTTTTAGATCAGGGATGTCCAGTTACAGAGAATCTCCTTAAGCAGAGGTCCAGGACCTCAACATGTCTAACTTGTGTCATGATTGTGATACAGAATTAGCCTAGTTTGATCAGTTTATGAATGTATGAACAATAAACTGTCAAATTAATTAAAATACAAGTAAAAAACATTGGCTAAGTAGTGTCACGTGGGTGGTTTGTTTGTTCCTTAGTCCAATAACACAGTGCTGTAAAGGTTGCCACACACTACAGGATTTTTCATTATTAAACAATTTTTTAAATGTGTTAAAAAAAAAGTGTACACCACAGACACGAGGAGAATCTTATGAGACTACTGTCTACAGTAAAACCAGTCGCTCTGAGAATCTTAAGTGTTCAAAGATCAGAGTTCTGCACTTCTAGTTTAGATACAAGTCAA